ACAGAAACCCTTTTATCCTGGGAGGACGTCATATGGCATCCTCCCAGGATCGCGCATCACGCTTGCCCAACGGGCCACACTCCAGCACGGTCTGTCACCTTCTGTTTCCATGGGACACAACTAATGACAGATCACTACACTGGCCCACTGTCAGTGTCACATGATCACTGTGGCCAATCACAGCAGATCACATGACAGTTCTAAACAATGAATGGCCTCCTTTCAACCTATTCACTGCTGACAACTGTACTGCGAGCTGTGATTGGTCACAGTGATCACATGTACAGACTGGGTCAATCACAGCCCATCTGTAGCATGTGATCAGCTATGGCCAATCACAGCTGATCACAACAAAAACTACTGAATCAGTAAACATGCTTGCTTATACCAATGTAAGTTGTTGGTATAAGTGATCATAAAAAAATCCTGATCACTTGCCCAGAGTAGTACAATGTTACCATGGTACACATAGTACATAGTGACCTCTGGTCACAGGAGTAAAAAAAACAAATAGTAAAAAAAAAAATGTAATAAAAATGTTAAGCAAATTAAGAATTTAAAAAAAATTATGTTTTTTTTATATACTCTCGCCCAGTCAGTGTCTCTGATCACTGCCACGCGATTTACATGATGGCGCTGTACTGCATTGGTGACAGTATGCAAAAAAAAAGTAAACATTTTATTTTCATTTCTTAATTTTCCACAAAATTATGACAAAAAAGTTACAACTTCAAAAAACTTTCAATGCCTTTTACTAAATACCTCAGACTGTCTACTTTCTAAGAAACGGTAATTTTGAGGGTATTTGTACTGTCCTGGAGTTTTTGGGCCTCAAGAAATGAGATCAGTCGTCAGTGCATCAGGATTTATCAATTTTTAGATATATACCATTGTTTGTGGAGTCTATAACTTTCCTACCAATTAAATAATAAACACTGATTTAGGTTATTTTCACCAAAGAAATGTAGCAGAATACATTTTGGCCTACATTTGTGTAGAAAGATTATTTATTTGCAAAATGTTATAACAGAAATTAAAAAAAATTTAACATTTTTCAAAATGTTCTGTCTTTTTTTTTCATTTTTAGCACAAAAAATAAAAAACCCAGTGGTGATTAAACACCACTAAAAGAAATCTCTGTTTGAAAGAAAAAAAATTATAAAAATTTCATATGGGTACAGTGTTGCATGACCGTGCAATTGTCATTTAAAGTGCAACAGTGCTGAAAGGTGAAAATAGGCCTGGGCAGGAAGGGGGTAAAAGTGCCTGATAGGCAAGGGGGGTTAAATAGTTATGTTGGTCCAGCTTGGACCAATGTAAGTATACATATTCTATACCTGCAGGACCACTGTGGAAGTGATCTTCCAGGTACTGTGCTGAGTGGCTGCCCTTCTGCATAGTGAACAAAGGGGGGTTGCTTGCTCAGCATGGCCTCAATTCACAGAATGCCTTGTATTTTTTTTCAGTGAATACAAGGCATTCTCTGATTGGGCGAAGTGGAGAGGCAGGATGGTTATGTCAAAATCTTTATCTCATCCAATCAGAGAACCGAATATTCATTGAAGAAATAGGTGGTGTACTATGAGTGATGGCTATGCCAAGCGACTCTCTGTGTTCATTAGGCAGAAGGGAAGCCTTTTGGCACAGACCTTAAAATACCATGGCAATCACTGTAGTAGCACGACTTCTATGGTGATTCTCCACTTACACAGTAGTCCAACAAGTATGGAATATAAATACTTACATTGAGCCAAGCTGCATAAATGTAATAGCTATGAAATAAAAACAATACCTGGAGTTCAACTTTAAATTTTGCATGAAAATAATTGTAGGAGTAGTTAAATGATTCTTGCAGCTATATTTATATGTGGCTACAAAATAATTAATCTAAGAATTGTCACTAGAAATAAAAGAAATTGAATCCCTTAGGTCTCGATAACCAGCATAGGTTAGAGCCAGGTTTGGCATTGAATGTCAAGACACCACAGTTTCTGCTGGTGAGAAGCTTTGTTCCAAACTGGTTGGACAACCATTGGAGGATCTCCCCATCTCCACTGATCGTGTCTTCAGGTCTCCAACACAAAGACTGATGCTGCATCCTCATGATCTGCTGCAACTGAAATTTTCTAAAACATTTATCTGGAGGTGTCTCTATTAATAACTATATACTGTATACCCAGGTATATGTGCACAATTCCGCCAGGACTCTTGTTGGACCCCTTGCTGATAATACCTGCTTGTACATTGGCTGTATGTACTATTATTAATCTTTTCTTATGCTTTTATTAGATTACTGGCTAATTTTCCAGGAAGGGAATCCCCTTCTGTTCACCTGGGCTCTATCATGGATGGAGGCATTACCAACTTTATTTTCAAATCCTTTTCCACTTAGAAAAGGTTCTGGTTCCCTTATTTTAACTACAGGTTCAGCACAATATTCTGTTTGGGGAGAGTCATTTTTCATAACCCCCTGCCCCAAATGAGGGCTACATCTATGTGCCATACCAGTGGGATCCCTGTGGAATCTGGAAAGCACTGTAGTAGGCACTGCAACTACAGTAATCTCTCCCAGTGAATGCAAAGCATTCTCTGATTGGAAGAGGTGGCGAGGTGGGGTCAATGACATCATGCTCTCCACATCATCCAGATGCATTTACTGAAAAAAATGTAACTGTTCTCTAAACACAGCGAGCAACCTCCTGTGTCCAGTAAGCAAACGTGCAGTTGCTCGGCATGTGGACCTCGAAGCTAGTGGAGATCACTGTAGTAGTATTGCCTACTACAGTTATTTCCAGGGCCACCTGTATGGGACCTAAGCCCCATATGTTTAACGAGGGGGTCCAGGCAGCTGCCCCCCATTGCTCCAATCACCCCCTTTTGTTCATATCCTCTTCCCCCAGCTCTGATCCCTGTGTCCCCCACAGCGCTGCTGGCTTTTTCCCATCTCCCTCTTATTGGCTGTCAGCTGCTATGGGACTCTCACAATGCCCCCACCTCTGTGATTCTTCCCTGTGCTGTCCCCCCCCCCCTTCCTTCAGCACCAATCCCTGGCACTCCTTCCCTGTAGCACTACTGGCTGTCATCTGCTGTGGGGCACAGGAGGATCAGTTTCAGAATGGAGAGAGGCCATCCTTTCCTGATTGAATACAGTGAGTAATCGGTACTGATTCCTCCTGTGTTCATAACTGAAGCATGGTAAACTATGTTTACCATGCTTCAGTTTGTGAATGAACAGGATGCCTCTGTACAGAGCGCTTCATGTTCATTCAATCTGCAGCGCAATTGAGGCTGCACAGAAAGGGATTGAGGAAACTGTGTTCTCAATCTCCTTCTCTGGCTCAAAAGTGATCTGTTTAGACCCCTGATTTTTTTCACCAATGCCCTAACACCATCAGGGCCATTACAAATGTAAAAAATGAAAAAACAAATCTTAAAAACAATGCAAAATAATACAAAATAACATTTTAAAAAGTAATTGTAAAAATAATTAAGGAGCCCTTCACACAACTACTTATGTGGGTCATGTGAATGCCGCTGGAGCTGCCTGTTACTCTATGGGAATGCAGCTGCAGGTCCTAATTTGACAGGTTTGCAGGTGAAGGGCCAAAAATGCACACTGCCTGAGTCCCCACGGTTAAAAATTGGCTGCCTGCACACAACTCCATGCTGCTTGAGCCACATAAACAAACCACTGATTTACACTGTACAGGTCACAACACCCACATGAATTAGCCCCAAGACCTCATTCACACACATTTGTGCAACAATCACAGAACCTAGAAGGCTGCAGCACCTTCGTTTTATTCTACTGGTCCTATGCTTTCAGAAAATCTACGGTTTGGAGGGTCTTTAGCAAACTCTGATAGCTGTAAGGGGAAAAAAACAAAGGAAAAGTTACAAAAATGGTCGACCACCTGAGTTTAAAAGTGGAGCACAGGGCCTGACAAAGTTAAAGGTAGCAGGAGTACTGCAATTTGTAAAGTGCATATAGCATGCACCTATGCTGTGATCATTGGGATAATGACGATGATCATAGGCAGAGTGAGATGCTTAACATAGATTAACGTATTGTTGTGAAATTGCCCTGAATTGGCCCTTAAGGCCATCTATTCTGCCACAAAAAAAATTGCAGCATGCACTCTAGTAATTATTAGAAAATCTCCAAAACGTTAGAGATTTTCTAATAATGACTGGAGCGCATGCTGCAAATTTTTTGGGCGCAGAATAGATGACCTTAAGGGCCAATTCAGGGCAATTTCACAACAGTACGTTAATCTATGTTTTAGCGCAGCCATAAAATTCAGATCAACAAATGGACATAATTTTAGCGCAACGCAGATGTAAGCAGATTTCTAAACAATGCACAGGATATCCTGTAAAAATGCAGTATGCTTTAAAAATGCATAAATGCATTTGTTTTTAAAATACATGTCAACTGACATCAACGGATGTCAAAATGTATGTCCATGGATGACATTGTGCAACTAAAAAGGATGGAAATGTACATCCATTTTCCATACATTTTAGCACAAGTCAGTGTTAACTGGCTTAAGGAATATCTATTAGCCTTTTTAAATATATTTTAAAAATATTCTTCCCAAATATATTGACATATGCTACAATTTTGGCCATATTCACTATATTTCAAAATATATTTCAATAAATAAATATATATATATATATATTGGATATACAGTAATCATGTATACTGCATGTTGAAATGCGTTTTTATTACAAAATATATGAAAAAGTGCAAATTCGAATATTTTTAAAAATAAATTTCAAATATACTGTATGTCTTTAAAAATACAAATCTACATTTTTGGACTGCATTTACAAATATATGTAAAAATATATGTTAACCACATGGGTACATGGCACTTATACCCCCTTCCTGCCCAGGCCAATTTCCAGCTTTCAGTGCTGTCACACTTTGAATGACAATTTGTTTGAGACAGATAGAGCTTTATTTTGGTGGTATTTAATCACCTCTGGGTTTTTTATTTTTTCTTAAACAAACCAAAAACCACTGAAAATTTTGAAAAAAAAAGTTTTTCTTAGTTTTTGTTATAACATTTTGTAAATAAGTGATTTTTCTCCTTCACTGATGTGTGCTAATGAGGCTGCAGTGATGGGCACTGATAGGCTGCACTGATGGACACTGATAGGTGGCACTGATGGGCACTGATGAGTGAGGCACTGGTAGGTGGCACTGATGGGCATTGACGGGCATCACTGATGGGCACTGAAAGACAGCACTGATATATGGCACTGATATATGGCACTGACTGGCACTGATAGGCGGCACTGACTGGCACTGATAGGTGGCACTGATTGGCAGCACTGATAGGTGGCACTGATTGGCACCGATACATGGCACTGACTGGCACTGATGGGTGACACTGAAAGGCAGCTCAGATGGGCACTGATATGTGGCATTGATGTGCACTGGTAGGCACTGATATGTGGCATTGATTATGACACTGATTATTATTATTACTACATTGATGTGACACTGATGTGCACTGGCACTGATGAGCACTGACAGCTGGCACTGATGGACACTGACAGGTGGCACTGCTGGCGCTACACTGATAATCAGGGCACACTGATCATCAGTGCTCTGATGATCAATGTAGATGTCCCCTCCGTGGAATGACGATTACCGGCTCTCCTCTCCTCTCGAGCTGTCAGCGTGACAGCTCGTGTGGAGAGAAATGCTGATAACCAGCATTTCCCTGTTTACATGTGATCAGCTGTGATTGGACACAGCTGATCACATGACTGAGCCGACATCTTCGGCTCTTTCCGTGGATCAGTGATCCGCTGTGTCCGAGGGACGCACAGCGCACCGCCGATCGCCGCACTGCGCGCTCCCTGAGCTGCGCATGCGCAGTGAGAATGGGAGGACGTCATATGACGTCCTCCCAGAACGAGAGAACTACCTTCAGCCCGTCATTGGACTATATGGCGGGTGGGAGGTGGTTAAAATTACTTTTTTATATGTAAAAAAAAAATGAAGAATATATTAAAAAAAATCTATTTTTAAAAATATATATTTTTTAAATATATTCTTCAGATGTTTTTAACATATAAAAAAGTCATTTTAACATATATTTTTACATATATTTGTAAATACATTCCAAAAATGTAGATTTGTATTTTTAAAGACATACAATATAATGTATTTTTAAAAATATCTTTCATATATTTTGTAATAAAAACGCATTTCCTTTGCACTTAAACTTATATTTGCTACCTTGCACAGTATACCTAAACAGTGCAAGTGCATGGGAACCATGATCATGGGTTACAACAAGCTGAAGTAGAGACACAGGTAAAGAGACAACACACATCAGATGAGGGGATTGGGGGCACAGATTAGAAATCGGTATTGTGACCAGTAAGCTAAAAACTAACTGACAGGCAGTCCCTGCCTATCAGCTGAAGAATGAATGAATTTGTGAAGAACAAGGAAGAACTGCATAAGCAAATGGTAAAGACCTGTGTGCAGTAATAAGTTCCATTTTTCACTGGGTACATCTGACCACAAGTGTCCACAGAAGATTAAAAATGGAATTCTGAATAATTTCAGAACATAATGCACAGCCAACCCACAAAGTGATGATATAGCCAATAAATATGAGACATACACCGTGTGCACAATTATTAGCAAGTTATATTTTTGAGGATTATTGAACAACTATAGTACCCTTGGTCAATCCAAAATGTTAATAAACCTCAAACCTGAATATTTAAGAAAGTAAAAGTGAGGTTTTGGCTTTCTTAGGAGAATAGCTATGTGAACAATTATGCAACTAAATGAAAAATTAGAATTTTCCCATCTCACTTGTTTATTTTCATAAATTCACAAATAAACATTTGTGACATAAAAAAAAAAAATCAGTGACCAGTATAGCCACCCTTCTTTTCAATAACAGTCATAAGCTTCCCATTCATGGAGTCTGTCAGTTTTTTGATCTGTTAACAATCAATATTTTGTGCAGCAGCAACCACAGCCTCACAGACACTGTTGAGAGAGAGGTACTGTTTTCCTTCACTGTAAATCTCCCATTTAAAAATGGCTCACAAATTCTCCATAGGGTTTAGGTCAGGTGAGGAAGGGAACCATGTCATTATTCTTTCATCTTTAAGGCCTTTACTGGCTAGCCACATCGTGATTTTGATGCATGAGATGGAGCATTGTCCTGCATACATATCATGGTCTTTTTAAAAGATGCAGGCTTTTTCCTGTACCACTACTTGAAGAAAGTGTCTTCTAAAAACTGACAGTAGGTTTGGGAGTTGATCTTCAAAGGTCCAGCTAGCTCATCTTTAATATTACCAGCCCCACCTCCACCTCCACCTTGCTGGCATCTGAGCTGAAGTGGAGCTCTTTGCCCATTACTGATCCAGCCAGCCACGGGCTCATTCATCTGGTCCGTCAAGAGTGACTCTCATTTTATCAGTCCATAAAACCTTTGAAACCGTGTTGACTATTTGCAACAAAATGTTTGATGGTTCTGTGATCACACTCCAATATCTTAGCAATTTCAAGAGTGCTGCATTGCTCTGAAAGACTTTTTACAATTTTTGACTTTTCAGAGTCAGTTAAATCTCTTTTTTGGCTCATTTTGCCTGAGTAAAAGAAGCTGCTAAACATTATGCAAAACCTTGATATAGGGTGTTGATCTCCTTAGGCCACACTCTCCCTCATTACACAAATACACATCACCTGATATGCTTAAATCCAATAAACATTCAATTGTATACAGCTTTGAGTTGGACAATATGCATAAAAATGATGATTTGGTCAAAATACTCACTTGCCTAATAATTGTGGGCACAGTGAAGAGATTGAATAAACTAAAAGCAAATAGGCAGTTCACATGTCATGGGAATTTTCACTTTGCAAGGTAATTTTTACTTAGCTTAGTGAAATCAGTAAAAATTCCTTTTGAAAACAATACCCTATCAGGGGCAAGGAAGTTTAAAAATATATATATTTCACTGCACCTGAATGGAATAGAATATTCGCCCAATCATGTGCAAAAGTGCAAATTCCTTTGCAAAGCAAACAGTCTATTTGCCTTTTGGCTAGGTTCCCACCTGTGCAGCGATGCAGGCCACAAATTGCACAGGCACAAGCCCATTCAATTGAATGGGCTGCCATGCCTCGCAACATGCAGGAAAGAAGTCTCTGTCATATTTTTTAAATTGCAGCCCTCATGGGAACCGAGGTTCCCAGTATGAGTGCGATTTCCAGTGTGGGCAACATGCCATTGGGATTAATGGCACCCACCCGTGGTCCCACATTTCTCTGTGTGGGTGGTTGCGGCTGCCAGTATTTGTTCAAGTCCGCAGCGGCACCACCCGCACAGATGTGAACCTAGCCCCAGTAAATCAACCTCATAGCCTCAAACAGCTGTAGTTGATGGCTCAATGACATCCAGTTAGTATATCTACTGAACAGTGACCCCACTGGTACATCTAATGGTATCATTTGCAGACAAAATGATTGCTGTGTAGTACATAATTGTCAGAGACATTTAATGCAACAAATACCAGAATGCAAAGTAATGAGGGATTTACCATTTAAATTGGAACTGCATTAAAAAAAACAATCTGCCTTGTTCTGTGTTCAAAAAAGGAAGTTACCTCTAATGATGGCTATCCTAGGTCTGGATTGCTGCTGTGTAAGAAAATCCTAGTTTTATTCATGCTGGAAAGTACAACGAATTCTATGAGAGATGCAGCTTTAATACAGTGAAGAGAGTTTGTAATTTATCAACATTTCCTCTTCTTTTGTCCATTCACAAAATTCCATTTTTGGAGAGTTGGGAGAGCTAGATAAATGACATGATCTCATGCAATCCATTCACAGAGCACCTTGTATTCTGCAAACATAATGCAAGCCACTTTGTAAAAGGGGAGAGGAAAGGAGGGCAAACAATAGGAACCCTTCATTGCATAAGAACCAAAGCTCATGTAGCTCTCATTCCTACAGTGCCTGAAGTTCTGTGGTGGCAATACTTTCCGACATTAGCAAAACTAGTATTTTTACACTACGCATCAGTGATCCACACATAGGATAATCTTAATTAGTGGTAGCATGTTTTTTTTTACTGGAGTTCTGCCTTAGCTATACAGGCATGGAAAAACATTGCTAAGAAACCTTATCGATTTAATGCCTAGTAGAATTAAGACGAGCTGCAAATGAAAGCGATACCTTCTCAATGATTTCAACTGAAACCAGTCATTTCAAAGAGTAATTTCTTATTTTATGTGTACATACTGCATACTGTCAATATTTTACACATTTTGATAACATTTTGTAAACCCCTAATGCAGGGTAATATTTTTTAACTATTATAAAGACCATACAGAAAGACTAAACGCATATGGACACCTTAACATAAAATTGCACTGGTTTCCTAGAAAGAGAAATGTATCTAACATCAGGATCCAACTCCAGTGTCAGGACTTGTCTCAGTATTTGGATCACCTGCTGGTGGCTCCTTAATCTGATGACTACAGTTTCTGATGGCTGCCAGTGGGAGTCTTCAGCTGATCTTAGCAATCAGGCTCCACCTGATACTTTAACTGGATGCTGGGAAGGTATTTAATCCCTCCTTTAGTTATCTGGGCTTCAATGTTTTGCCTGCTAGCCATATTCCTAATTACTGAAATCTGCCTTCTCCTGTATATCTTGTAGTTTGTATCCTGTTACCCCATCTCTTCTCCCCTTTTTCCCAGTCCTGCTCATGCCCAGTTATGTCAGTTTCCCTCTGTTTGTATATCGTGTACATAGCTAGGTTGTTTTGGTTTGCTTCACTAAAACATTTATTTTGTCACTTTTGCTTGGTTAGTTGGTGTTGGATTGGTATTGTGTGTATTAATAATACCTACTTTAAACATACACAGTCTGATTTCAGTTTCCTAAGTGCAGCAACACATATCTGGTCATCCCTAATGCTAGATGCCTGATTTCAGTATCCTGTACATCCAGGATATTAGCACCCAGGGGCGGACTGACCATTTGGAAACTCGGGCCCAGGGTCAGTAGGGGGTCCCATGAGATGCCCCTGGTACCTTTTTCATAGTTGTCAGTCCGCCCCTGTTAGCACCCCCTACACTATCTAACCGCTGATATTAAAGAAGAAGAACCCTCTCTAGATCCGCATTTAGTTACATAAAACAATAGTCACTTGTGGACCCTTTTGTCTTCTTCTGTTTACTTCTTGGGGGTCCTTCTCCAGGTGTCCACATCTTGCAGACAACTGGTGGAGACGACACTTCTGCTATTGTGTGATGCTGGCTGGTAGCCTTCCCAGTTGGCAGAACACAATGATTACTGCTGGTTGCTATAACCGCCTACAGTGATAGTATGTAAAACATCTGACAGGCTGGTTGTAGCCAAGTCTATTGATGGCTCAACTTGGGTTCAACCAGCCTACCTATACATGGATTGAATCTCAGCAGGTCCCTTCTGAAGGTTTCATCCATCTATGGCTGGCTTAAGATAATTGATGCACAGCGCATTATTTAAATTTAATTTTTGCCTGGAGTTGGGCATTAAAAATGTAGCATCATCGTCTTTTTTTACAATCCACTCATGCTGTAGCATGACAGTTTATATAGTGCTGCAGTTTAGATATACCTTTCTGTGCAGAAGATACAATGGAAAGCAAAGCATAGGCAGTAATTTAATGAGGCCCTATACTGTGGAAGCTGTGCCTAAAAAGGAAAGGCAGCAGCATAAAGGGTAAAGGAGGGGACATCAATAGGCAGCAGGATTGGTGGAGGAAGCACAAAACCACAGAATGAGTGCTCAGGAAGACACCCAAATCTT